AGAGAGAGAGAGAGAGAGAGAGAGAGAGAGAGAGAGAGAGAGAGAGATTGGAAGAGGGAGAGAAGGAGAGAGGGAGAGAACCGTGCTATGTATTGGAACTTGCTATGTAGACCAGATCCACCTGCTTCTGCCTCCCAAGTGCTTAGATTAAAGGCATGTACCACCTTATCTGGAAAAAAATACTATTTTTATTTTAATTATGTGTATAAGTATGTGTCTCTGTGTGTATTTTGTTTGTGAGTTCAGTGCCCACTGAGGACAGAAGAGGATGCCACGTCCTCCTGGAGCCAGAGTTAAAGCCAGGTGTGAGCTGCCTGAGGGTGACACAGGTTCTGGGAACCAGTCCTCTGTGAGAGCAGTACATAGTCTTAACTGCTGAACCAGTTATCCAGGCCATTTTGTTGTGTTTTAGTCCAGGTCTTGTGTAGCCCAGGATGGCCTTGACATGAGAACGATTCTGAACTTCTGACCCTCCTAATTCCACTCTCTCAGTGCCCGGATCAGAAAGCGACCACACTAGATTCTGTGGCCCTGGGGATGAGATCTATGGCTCTGTGTGTGCTAAACAAGCACCCGGCCAACCGAGTCCTTGATTGTTAGTTTTAACATTTCTAAAAGACATGAAAATAGCCGGGCGATGTTGGCGCACGCCTTTAATCCCAGCACTTGGGAGGCAGAGGCACGCGGATTTCTGAGTTCGAGGCCAGCCTGGTCTACCGAGTGAGTCTCAGGACAGCCAGGGCTACACAGAGAAACCCTGTCTCGAAAAACCAAAAGACTTGAAAATAGAAGAGACAAGGCCCTGCTGGGAGAGAAGGGAGAAGCTGTGAAAGGAGGAAACCACAGGTGGGAAGATCCCCAAGAAAGTGCCATGGTAATGCTTGGGGCTTTCAAAGGCTAAAGAGATGAAGCAAACAGGACCATGGTATCGGAGGACAGGGAAGAAAAGCCAGTGCTCAAGACTACAGCTGAAAACCAGGATGCAAAGCTGGAGTGCAGCACAGGTGTACATAGGCCTGGTTCCACATACACAGAGCCAATTACTGGTGAGCCACTGAGTGCAGAGACTGCCAACAAGCCCCACACTGCCCAAGTAGCTTAGTGAAGGACATCATGTTCCCTTAAGACCCCGGGGGCTTTACTAAAAATACTTGTGCCTACTTAGACCTGTCAATCAGAACCCAGGAGAAGAGCCAAATGATCTTAAGATGACCCATTTGAGGAAAGGGTTCTGATGCTCACTCTGCATGGTACAGTTTGAACAGAGGAGCAAAGCCAAGTGGACAGAACTCAGATTCTGAAACTGTATATCCTCTATCTGCCTTCCTCTTCTGACAGGAAGAGCCACACAGCAAGCTCCTACTGGAGCTCAGTCTCCCCATCTGTAAAATGGGGACTGAACCCCAGGAAGATGTTCCCTTGGTCTGGCTTTACTTTCTCAGATCCCCGTGAACTTGATGCAGAGAGGCTCCCATTGTGAGCTTCACTCCTACACTGAAGCACAATAAAGGACAAGAGAAGATGGAAAAAAAAAGGCCTATATCTCTGTTTGTGAGCAGAGAGGAATGTCTCATCCATGAGTGTTCTATTCCTCATGTTCAGACATGTCCCCTGTAGACCTGGAAACAGGAATGACTGTCCTACTGCACACACGTGCCTTTCAGTTCTGAAAGGGGTCTGACTTGTGTCAGCAACACAGCTGTACTTACACTAGAGCTAAACCCCTGAAGCCCCTAGACCTTCAGAGCTCTGACTGAATACCAACCCCACACAGCCCTCCGTCTTCTGAGGCCCTGAGTAGGCTTGTGCCATGTTTAGCTCCCATCTGGTATATCCCCCAACCCAACATCTCTGCTACTGCCAGATAGTTAACAGAGCCTTTGCTTACAGGCCCATGCATTCGGAGTCATAGAACTTTCTAGCTAGCATTCTAGCTTCAAATTGTAGTACGTTCGATAAGCACTCTGGGTATTTCTGAGGCAAGCGTCTATAGGGGTATGCCTGGAGAAATGGTCTGAATCACCATGTCTCCTGTCTATTAGCAGGTACTGGCCCTGTAAATTATGTAACAGCCTCGATATGGAGATATAAGTCAGGAGTCACTTCAGAAACATGTTGAAAAATGAGTACTTTATCTTCCTAATAAGAAAGCAGCACTTGGCAAATATAAATAGCTAAAATAGTACCAAATAGGAAAATAATTTTGAGTTCTACCATCCTGAGGTATCTCACTAATGGCCTGGGGAAATGCTCACAAAAGAATATTTTGGTGAAGCAGTCAGGCATAACTCTGTGTACACTTTGGGTGCTTTCATCAGCCTCCCGCACTGTCTCTGCTAGGCAGAGGTTGTGCCCAGCACTCCTTCACCCAGTCTGGCTGGTAGAGCAGTTGGCATGAATGGAATGTCTTAGGTAGCTCATTTGGTCACTGGGAGTTCCCACACTCATTTTATCCTATCATCCTTGGGTCCAGGCCAACCACCTCAGGAGAAAAACAACAACAACAAAAAAAAAACAAAAATGAAAACAAAAAAGCCATTTGCATCCACAGGAGGACCTACAGACAGTTCTCTCAACCAGTCTCTCTTATGCTAGGAGTGTGTAGGCTGAGACCAATAAGAGAAGGCTGGGAGCATCTGAACTGCTGAGCAGGGGAGTGGGAGACAGGAGGGGACAGGAGGGGACAGGAGCAGGGAGATCCAGTGATGACCTGGGGACAAAGCCACCTGTGGGAGGAGAGGCAATTGGTTGGGACAGCTGGGAAGCAGGAACAGGAGGCAGCTGGCAGGGCAGACTGCAGGGTGTCCTCAACTAGGAGCGCCCATACGGAATGATTCCACTTCCTACCAAGTTCAAAACTCCTGGCCCCTGCCCTTCCTCACTTCTGTATTTTGGCTCAAGAAAAGGATTCGAAATCAGCACACCCAGACTTAAGAAAGGGACATCAGCTGGCAGGTCCTGCGATGAGATATCCAAGGGCAGAACCCCGTCGAGTTCCCACTGGGGATAAATCTGCCTCTCTAGCAGTTTTTTGGTACTTTTATTCAGGGCCGCACCTCACAGAAGAGGGACTGTGGCCAAGGAGAGAACCAGTCACAGGACTTGGTTTCTTTTCTTTCATTTGTGGTTAAATTTAAAGAAAAGTGCCTCCGTTTTTAACCAGACACCAGAAAAGAATGAAGGCCTCTGTGGTGCTGTTGACTGCCCGGGGACCTTTGTTAAGGACCTCCTATCCATTTCCTGTACTAGTGGATCTGCAGGAGGTGGGATGCCTCTCCACCAAACAACCTGGGTAGGTTTCCTGTTGTACATTCAGACACCCTTGGTGAGATGACGAAACTGAGAGGATTTCCTTACAGAGCAGAGTCTTGCAAGCTGTCAATTCTGTTCAAGAGGAACCTCACCAGGAAAAGACGTCTGTTGAAAATCCTACTTTCAGATTCCGAGAGAAGGAAGGATTGGGAGGTGGGGGAGTAACTAGGTCCATGTTAAAGAAACAGTCCCAGGAACCTACCCAGGACAGGCCGAGCCGGGGGTGTGTACTCAGGGGCTGAACTCCGCCGGGCTCCCCTTGGAGGAAACCTTTCCGGAATGTCCCAAATCTGCCTAGAGCCTGGGAAGGGACGGGGGACAGCTGTCCTCACTCTCCGCACCCACCTGCAGCGTCAGCTGGAACTGGCCTGGCTGTAGTGATTGACTCCTTCCTAGCAGGGGGGACAAACTTCCAGAGCCACAGCTAGCTCTACCAGCCGCGCTCCCCAGCCCTACTCCTGCTGTGACAGCGTCGCTGACACAACCCCCTCTCTACCCCGGGGTGGGGGCTGCGAATATCTCCGGGGTACCGCCCAGCTCGCCCACCTTCGTCCCCTCAACCGCGCAGCGCAGACTCACTGGCATGGCGAGCTCCCTAGACAGTCGCCCGGGTCGCGTCAGTCCGCTCGCCGCTCGGGACTCAGCTCGGGACTCTACTCCCGACTCGACTTATATTGCTGCTGCTACCGCGCCCTGGCCACGCGAGTCACGTGACCCCCAGTGAGGTGGCGCGCGGACGCCTGGGAGTTGTGGTCCTCAACTCGCGCGCCATCCCACGGCCCAGACCACACCCACCGCGGGGACCCCACACACAACCCTGGGTGCAGGCTGCTCTGACGAGATGTCTCCGAAATCCCCAGCCAGCCCCCGCAACCTGCAATTGACCTTGCCTTAGCAATTAGCATGAAAATGTTTACTACTTTTTCTTTTTGATCAGACATCTAGTATAATGACACATGTTGAATGCAAAATTAAAAGGTTCATCCCAGGAACATAATAACAACAAATTAGGATTGCGTTAAATCAACTACGCCCAGACGTTCCCTGTCGCCACTTTATCTTTTCCAATCTGATAAGCAAACAGCAGTGCACAGTTGTAATTTTCTTTCTGTGTGCATGCACACTATGATTACGTTTCTACATTGCACGAGTTTTTCGTCTTCTTTGTAGGTAATAAAAAATCTTAGTTTGTTTTTTGGGCTATATTAACAAAATATAATAGACTGAGGGCTTATAAACCGTGGAAATTTATTTCTCATAGTCTCCAAGTCGAAGATCGTACAGACTCCATGACGCCCCAAGGTTGCTTTCAGACAGACTCTTTTTTCTCATTCTCCCTCACACATACTAGTTTGTATTTGTTTTATTACTAGGTTGATAAACTTTTTCTCTCATTAGTATTTCCATTTTTGTGTACTGCCTTTTCATCTCACTGATTTAATTTTATCAGGGATATATATCAAACTTTTAACATTAATACTTTCTTTTCCCAACATCAACAATCTTTTATATAAGTTCTTAAATTCCTTTGCCAACCAATCTGCCCGCATGTTCCTCTCAAAGAACTCTGACCAAGGGTTAGCTGAGACAATGAGAGTGAAGTCGGACCTCTCAGCTCAAATCCTGAGTTCTGGAGTATTAGCCACGAGGCCTCAGTCAAACAACTATATACATCTGAGGCTCAGCTTCCTGAAAAGATTTAAAAATAAATAATAATAGAATCTATGTCACAGAGGTGTTGAAAGACCTAAGTGAAAACACAGATTGAATTCTCAGCATTAAACCTGGCAGTGGAACCTTGTTTGATAAATGAAGCCATTGTTATTAACAGCAAATATTTCCACCCTGTGAGAGAGAGCCATCTGCAAAAGGTTAAGCCATTGCTCGGGGTCACACAACTATTGGCCAAAGCTAAGGAGGGTTGTGCAGCCTCAGAGAAAACAGATCTGCAGGACTCATGAGGGAGATCTAACTTCTATGGCTAATGGGCTAGGCCAAGCCTCTGGAATCCAAAAGCAGTAGAGGGAGTTGAAAAATTGGGATCACTTTTTACTTTTCTGTGCCTCACCACAGCCCTAAGTAGGCTCTTGCACCAGCGCAAGTTCCTTCCCCCTTATTGTCCATGGAAAGATTAGCAACATAGGCTCATTCATCTGAAAGTTTTCATTGGCTTCGTCCCAATCTGATGACCTTCCCACTTAGTTCTAGCTCCTGTGGATGTTATGGTTACAGCTTTCAATCCTGTAGTTCTAGAGCAGCTGATTTCTCTTGGGCCACCAAAGACCACCCTTTCTCTGGCTCCCAGGAAAGGAACTGGACTCAGATACAGAATTCTAGACCTTAAGATTACACCAGAGCTATCCACACTGGGGTCTATGTCAAGATTCTTTCTTTCTGGATTCTTTTTGGACAGCCTGTGGACTTACTTCTTTTCCCTGTCTCCACAGCAGAGACCTGGATCCTGAGATGAAATCTTGGCAGGAAAGATGGCAGCATCCCAGACAGAAGCAAAGTGCCCTTTTGACTGAGCACAGAGCTTATCCAGTCAGCTAGTAGTAGGGAAGTCCGACTGGTTGTTGTGCACTAATCTACCCTGCTCCATACAAAGCCTTTCATGCAGCCCATAGAGATAGTCAAGGAAGGAAAAAAGGATGAAATCAGTGAGGCCAAGACTCTCAAAGATCAAAGAAGGGACGCAACGAAGTTACTCACAAGTGCCATGGGACACGACACACATGGCAGGTGCTCAGGCAGCTTTCATGGCGCTAGGGTGGGCACAGAGTTAGCATGGGGACCAGACTGTTGTGAGCACTGGGCTAGGGTGGAGGACTATCATAATGAGGGCTCTCAGCAACATCAGGGAGCGTACATGGAGAGTCATCTGAGGTCGATCAACTGTGCACCTTCCAACCAGAGACTTTGCCCTTTCTATAGGCTTGGAGCATTGATTCTGTTCCTCTCTCTGTGAGGGCTTTGCCACCATTGGGACAGTGATGTCTTTCCTTGCTCCTGAACATGACTCTGCTTGGGCGGCTACACCCTGAGGGGAGCTCCTCAGGATTCCTTTGTCATATGTTCCAGTTCTCGAGGAGTTCACTGATGTCCCTTTTTCCTGCCACAGAATGTCCCATGTCTCGTCTTTCAGGCCTCTGCGCTCCTAACTTTGAAAGAGTTGGCGGTGGCCATGCAGTATCTGCAGGGAAACAGATTCACTAATGGAACTCTACTGTGGAAAGGCCCATGGAGATCTCTTCCAGCTCAGCAAGGATCTGTGGTGATATTGGTGGCCTCTATGCTTATCTCCTAGAACACATGTGCTACAAGCTCTTGCTTTTGCTATGTTCTTTATACTCAGAGGAATATTTAGTTTCACTTTGTTGGTCATGGGCAAGGCCCGTGTCATGCAGGCTGAAAGCCTTGGGGATGATCCTATGCTTTTCTCAAAACTTTTTGGAGGGGTAAAATCCTCCTCTCCTCTCTCTTCCTCTATCAATCTTCCAGATGTGACCATTAATCCTGGATATTTGGGGACACATAATTATGTCCCTAGAGAAACAGCTACAGTCACACTGAGTAAGCCCTATGGCAGCTGTGGGGAGCACTGGGTCCTGCTTGCTCCCCAACTGTTCTGAGGAAGCTGTGTCTGATCAACAGAGACTTAAACTGATGGTTCTTGGAAGGATGGTATCAGAAATCGACAGGTGCCTATCAAGAAAGAATGCTTGGTACAGTGAACACGTCTCTGTCTGCAATTTAAAAAGTATTATGACAAAGGGTTCCTATTAGGTGAATGGACTTATACCCACAAATGGTTAATCTGACTTTCACCTTGCCCAACCGTATAACCGCATCTGCCGCCAGCTGGGGATGGATGTGCTCGTGTTCACAGGACATGCCTGGCTGGACATTTATTTTTGGCTTGTTGAAATTGTGCTTTGTAGAACAAAATAGGATTGGGGATGATTAGCTCAGTGGGAAAGAGAAGGAGGAAGGGAAACTATTGGGGGCTTTTACAATAACTCCGATGTTACAACTTCTTGAAATAAAATAACCAATGATGTCACTGCTTGGGCGAGCAGGATTGTAAAAATAAAGATGGCTCGAGCTACTCAGGGCCACCTGCTTGGGTGTCACTGTCTTCACTTCCACTGACACCACACATCTGTCCTCAGGTTCCAGAACCCCTCCAGCATTGGTTGCCAGCAGAGGGTCCCAAAGAATTTGGGATGCACCCAAGTGTCTCAGTTCCTGGGAGTCTTAGACTGTTTCTGAAACCTGCTGGGTCGAGGGAGGTCAGAGGCCAGTCAACTTCACTCTGGATGTCTTAATTTCCTCTGATTGCTATAACAAATTTTCTGATGACTTAAAGCAACATGCACTTCCCCTCTTGGGGTTCTGCTGGTTTGAAGACTGAGGATAGGTTTATTGGGGGGGGATCAATCCCTCAGCAGGATTGCAATACCCCCAGAGGCTTCAGGGAGAGCCTGGGTCTTCGTCCCTACCCTTCCCATCTTCTAAAGCTACATTCCAAGCACTTGTTGGCTTGGGGATCAACAGCTTCCCCACCCCCACGTCTTCAGCGTCGCCATCTTCATCTTTCCCACAGCCTTGTGTGGCGGGAACTCTTTCCCCAGATAGCTAGAAACAACCACCCCCTTGTCTCAGGGCACCAATAACAGACTACAAAAGTCCAGCTTAGGGAGCCAGCAAACTTCTTGGGCTTTCCTTCAGTTCGAGAGTGAAGAATTACAGGAGTGTGGGTGACCCCAAAGCAGCTACAGAGTCTCCTTCCAGCCTGGCTGCAGCAATGGAATCACCCCTTCAGCTAGCCTTACACAGTTTATACACTGTAGCACTGCTGGTCAGGGTCATTAAGTCACGTGCAGTTAGGGCAAAATAATATACAGCTGACTGGAAGGCAGGTATAGGAGGACGTGTGGCCAGAATTGTAGACAAAGGTCCAGGCTGGAGAGATGGCTCTGTGGTTAAGAGTGCATGCTGGTCTTTCAGAGGACTCAGGTTTAGTTCCCAAGAGCCATGTCAGACAGCTAACAACTGTCTATGTCCAACTCCAGAAGAACCAATCCCCCGTCACAGCTTCCAAAGACACCCCCACTCACCACCCATACCATCAAAAGTGCTCATAATGAAGAAGAAAATTCAGTCTTTCAAAATAAAGTGAATATTAAATTAGCAACATACACATCATACGCAAGGGAGGGGGTGTGGCTCAGTAGTGAAGAGTGTTCAGTGTGCAAGTGAGTGCCTAGAAACCATGAAGAAAACTGAGTGTAGTCGTACATGCCTGTAACCTGAGCACTGGGTAAAAAATAGCAGAAAGAGGAGGATCATTGGACTCCCTGGCTGTCAGGCGAGCAGCAGGCTCAGTGAGACACCTTGTCTCAAGGGAATAAGACGGTAAATGATAGAGCAGGACATAGATCTCACTGTGACCTCTGAATACATGCACAGGTGCACATACCTGAACACACATGATACACACACACACACGCATACATCACACACATACTACATACACACAAACACACACATACATCACACATACTACACATACACGCACACTATGCACACTCACACACACATACCACACACACGCATCACACACAGACACACAAACACATACACTCACACACATACATCACATACACATCACA